CTTTCCAACTATCCACATGAAATCATTCCAAATTCTCTACCCGTCTGGTGGTTTTCGCCAGCTAAATTAGGATAATTTCTGCGGCAAAATTGCTCCAAGACAAATAAACAATCTCGAGTGTGACAGAGTCAATTAATTCCAGTTGAACAAATTAGACCACGTATTCGTTATGACGACTCTTTCATGGGAGCAGGTTTCTCTCGAAACTTAATTACTTCCATCTTTCACAAAACTTCATAGAACTCGATGAAATTAACGTTTTCTTCCTGACACTTTCTGTGTGAGCGTTACATAGCTCAAATATCTTTTCTTAGGTAGTTCAAAATTAGTAGACTCTCCAACATGTTTTCATATGAAAGTATATCTATATTATGGAAGGTATTCTTCCTAAATGATTGTAATCATCACCGCTACTTACTGAATTATACAACTGAAGTATCTTTCTTTAATACTGGAACACTGAACACAATGGTATCAAAAACACGGCAGAAACAACAGGAACAACAGTGATACAAGAAACAACAATACTAGAAACAACAAATGCAATGAAAACTGGTCTGTGGGTTGATACAACAAGATTGATCAACAATATTGTCAAGTTGACAGTAAATATCAATAAACCACTGTTTTCCATGGTAATCTCAGGGCACCATATGATTTTTATTTAGTAAATTGATGTAATTCAATCCCTTCAAATCATTTCAGCCAAAAATTTAGCCAGGAGGTAAAATAATCTGAATTCTACCTGTTTATCGAGTGCGATTTTTTGTTTAAAAATTAACGGTTTTTGCGGTGTTGCAATGAGTATGAAGATTAATTTTGTTTCGGTTGGCAGAATGTTTCCTCAATATTTTCATAAAGGACCCCGCACATGTCTTATGAGAAATGGTTTGCCATCAATTTTGCCGAAATTTTAATATACTGTAGTTTTTGATGTGCTGATTCAAAGTGTCCACAGTCAAAGCTCAAAAATGTATAGTTTTTGAGATACGAGTCTTTGGAAATAGATTTTTTCCATTTTTTGCGGTATTTGCCCATCAATCGGAAAACTGTCACTCCTGGTTGGGATAGAATTTGGATGTTTGGCACCTAGAATTAGTTTTTCGGATGGTCTTCCTCAGTTATATTAGATGCCGCTATCGAACATTTTTCATACACTGCATCTCACAGCCGAACGAATCCGTGAAAATGTCGGCATATTTAATATCTGATAGTACTTTCCAGAATGAAAGAGTTCAGGTATTGGAAACGAATTATTTTGCCCCCTAGTATGTTTTACCATAAAATGGGCTGTTCTATCGCGGGTGGCGGGCAGTGTATATCACATTGGCCAACCCCATTCAGGTGGTAGATGCATTTTCAGCATTGACATCAGTTCTGAGAGTTCAATCATTCTACCTCAATTATTACGGAAGAAACGAAGGTGTTTCCATGATAATTAATAATTTTAACAATTTAAAATTTCAAAATTTCATATCTCTCCTACTATTTCTTGATAAATACATCTAAATTTAGCTACATTTCTCTTTCATGTATTTGAAAATTTTGTATAACCTCACTTAAGTCTATTGTATAGCAAAACACGTGTCGCGGTTTTTGTAGAACCTTTTATAGTGAAAATCATACGCTAAACTATATTAATTAGAATTCAATTTGAGTAAAGACAAATTCAAATTTTGAATTTTGGCTCGAAATATACGTAGAGTCGAAATCAATTTCAATTATATACAGTGCGACCCATTTTTAATGGAAACACCCCCCTAAAATTTGAAGTTGTTAACCGATTTCAATAATTTTTTTGAAATGTCAAGTACTGAAAGGTCTACCTTGGGACAAAATTTGAAATGTTTATTAAAGTTTCAGGGCATATTACGATATTTTTTCTTAGTCGAAAATACCATTTGAAAAAGTTGAATTATGTCTGTTTGAAAATGAATGAAACTTGACCGGCTTTACTGACACCCTATATATTGTTTATGAAAGTTGAGATTCCCAAAATTATCATAGTGATGTTGACTCACTATTCCTAAAAAAACCCACTTAATATTGTCTGCAAAATAGATTTTTCTGAAATAACTTGGCAATGCCGCAATGGAAATTCGAAAACAAAAATATGGAATTGAATTACGTCTTCATATACAGGGTGTTCCATTTAAAAACATAACTTTGGTTGGCCACGCTCGGCTGGATCATCCAATACCCATGCGAGAAAATAATTTTAAAAGATATTATTTATCGATATGAATGCGAAAAAAAAATTGAGCAATTCGAAAATTTGTTTTCCCTGATAGCAATGGACCGAGGGAATCAATTGACACCCTGTACCCTGTATATCATCAGTATGCTGCATCCAAGAGCAAGGATGGGTAACACTTGGTCAACAGAAATACAAATGCACTGAGCCATCAGCAGAAGCCAGCCGCACATTTTTGGTTTCAGTTGATAGATCTTGTGTATACAAGAAAACTATTAAAATTGCCATGGAGACACCCACCAAAAATTTAAAGGTATAGAGAAACAGTGATGGAAAGATAATTTTGTTTTATGGACACGCCTTTTTCCTGCGGCTGGCGCTTCAGTTGGAATATTTGAAAATAATTTCTTATTGCACATCAATAATATAAAACCAACCTATATCAAACATTTCAGACTCCAAAAATATACCTTGGTACTATCCTCGACAGGAAGGCTAACATGGAACTCTCACCTACAGAGTAGAGCAAAAAGAGCATATGTGGCTTATGAGCAATGTCGGAGGACAGTGGGACGCACATGGGGTCTTTCATCTCGTGTGGTCACCTGGATCTACACTGCAATAATAAGATCTATGTTAACGTATGGAGCCATGGCATGCGGACCGAAAGTTCTACAAGCAATGGCCATCCAAAAAGTATATCAAATACAGCAACTAGCTTGTTTAAACATCACAGGAGTCATGAGAACAACACCAACCGCGGCAATGGAATTAATTACGAGTTTGTCCCCTCTGGACCGGTACGTTAAGGAGGTTATGTTAATGGCCTTGGTGCGATTGCGTACGGCTAGTGTAAACCTCGAAGTAGGAATGGGTCAATTGAGGCTGGGCCTATGGTGAGAAGCGCTTACTGCGCAATCTTTGCTGCAGGCAACCAGTGATGCAATTGAACTGAGGTTTGTGTTTAATAAACCCTACAAAATACAAATAAAACAGAACACAGAGTCACATGCTACAAATGCAATACGCATATATACAGACGGCTCAAAAACCAAAGAAAGCTCAGGATTTGGAGTGTACTCCAGATCACTAAGCCTAAGGATTAATCCTTAAGGAATGGGAAAAAATACCAGCGTGGTCCAAACAGAACTGGCTGGTATTTCAATCGCCACAAAAGAAATAACCAGGAAAGGAATTTCTGGCAAAAACATAACAATCTGCACTGACAGCAGACAAGCCCTGTTAGCCTTGAACAGACAATGTGTAACCTCAGGGCTAGTACTAGAGTGTCACCAAGATTTAGCCAAAGCCTCGATAGATAACATTATCCTGAGGTGGGTTAAAAGGCACGACAGGAGTAAAGGTAATCGCATTGCCGACTCTTTAGCCAAGGAAGCGGCTGGACTAAGAATTTTAGGACCCAGTAGCACCTACGGCCTAATGACTTTTGACAATTGCGGAACTAGTCAAATATTACACCCATGCTCAATCTTGAAGAGATGGGATGGAATCAAAGGATGCAATCTTGTCAGGATCACCTTGGGCGACCCTGGGAAGCTGGCACCGAAGAAATATCTGGCGATGACCAGGAAAAATATACGCTCAACAGTAGGATGCCTGACTGGCCACTATCAACTAAGGAAACACCTCCATAATATGGGGCTAGTGGACACACCTCTATGCAGGAAGTTGAGACTGTCAGGCATGTCCTATGCGAGTGCCCGGAGTTATCGTTAATAAGAGAGTGTGTGTTCAGCGAGTGTTGGCCTACACCTGCCGATATAAAGGAGATGTCTCCCAGTGACCTATCCACCTTCCTGGAAAGGACAGGATGGACGATGACCTAGAAGGACAACTCGGGAGGATGTACAATGGGTCACATGTGTCCTAAGTGATGTGGGCTTACACTCACCCTCCCTACTCTACAGATAGCAGTACGGAAAAACAGTGATGAAAAGTTAACTTTATTTTATGAACGCGCGGGGAAAAAGGTGCGTTGAAAATAATAATTTTTAGGTCAGACGTTTTTTGTGTAGCTTGATATATCTTTCCACGTAAAAAGGCACCGTGAATGTTTGACAACAAACAAATATGTCTTTCATTTCCTTTGTGACTCCTTGAAAGTGCTGCCATTCACCATTTTTTGTATTGTGATTAGTGAAAAAGTTTTGTAGTTGATAAAAATGCTGTGAAGATGACCTGTATTATGCCGTAGAAGTCAAGCAAAAGTACGACGAGCTACGCCACCTGTTAACCACACTGAGCAACGAAGCCAGAAAATAATAATAGTCGTATTTACACGAATTGAGGTGAAAGTAACCAGGTGCACTTCAATGGCACAAAAACCCAGGCATCGGTTTTCTCCAAAAAGATAAATGTCTCCAAAACCGGATTTGATAATGTCACGTTTGACAATTCCACTTTCTGCGTCGATAAGTTTGTTGGGGGTTAAAATGGACACATTCATTGATGTCACTGGAATTGCAAAAGCAAGTTTTTTAAAACATGAGTTTTGTAACTAATAAAACAATAAATTATTGCAACAAGGAAACATTTTTCAAAATAAAACACAAAGTATAATCTACATAAATTGTTTGTAATTTATGTTCCTAAACACACATTTTAGTAGGTTTTTTTATTTTAGTGGGTCAACAAAAAAATTCATGTTCAAAATGGTCCGCACCTTTATTTCGGTAATTTATTAGGTACTCAAAAAACCATAAAACAAAAAATTTGTTATATATGTAACTCTATAATCAAAACAGTTGAATTCGATAAACACCGGTAATAAATAAAGAAAAGGCAATTTTGAAATAACATGAATCTATTTCACATAAAACGAAAACAAACTTTACAAAAGTATAAAAATAGTTTTGTCTTACCTAAATTCTACAATTTTTACATTAGGCACTATATTATACATATACACATTGACACACCTACCTAAAGAAAACATGAAATGCAAGCTTCCATATAGAAATTTTCCACTCAAAAAAATTTGGTTACCTCATTTTGAATCGAAACAAACTAACTACTGTCTCTCTTTGGGACTTGTATAAATCAAACACCAAAATAACTAACTATTTCAATGCAAAGAATGATTTGATTCAAAGGTTAAGCATAGAATATTTTTTATAGGGTCTATGTATCATAAAATTTACCTAACATATTCAATACCACTTGTTACAATGTACACCAAAGAAATTGTACAGTATTCCAAATTTTGGTAATTCAAGTTGCCATATTCCAAAACTTCAACAGATGAAGTCACAAGTTTAGCTTTAAAAATTGTTTGGAAACTGAACTGACTTTCAAAAATTAAACTCTGGCTTCTGTTTAAAAAACATTGCTATTGTTTTTACTCAGAACAAAAAACTGATTTTCAACATAGATTAGGTCCATTGGTGTGAAGTTTCATTAGATTTTAGAAATATATTTTCTACCTCTAGGTGAAGAAAATATTCAACAGTATTTTTGGATTTCAAACAATTTTTTATCAATATTGAAGCATATGGTATGTTGTCTATATTCTGTTGAAACTTTATGATGGATTGAAAGCGGAATATTCAAACTCTTAAGAGCTTTGCTTAACTCAAAATTATCAACAGTTAATAATTCTATCATAGAAAAGCACTACTCATCTCAAATAATGCACTGGGTTTTTGAGATTTGTGAGGTTAGCTTCTATTTCTCTTCAAAGTTAAAAATTATTTCATTGAATTTAAAGAGGGTATATTTTTAGAAAAAATTAGTTTTTTAAAGAAATCTAGAATATGTGCAATGATTTGAAAACTCAAACTGTGGTGATTTTTTGTTTTGTGAGGATGAAATGTTCATTGATTTTAGAAATAATTGAATATTTCAATTCCACCAGACAGAAAATCGATAGAAGTGTTTCTGATGCCATTTTGATGAAATGAAACTGACACAAAAGTTTGAAAATTTTGCAGTCCAATAATGACACTTCATTGCTATTCGATTTATAAGGAAGGGGTCCAAATATATTAATACCAAAAGTAGTCAACAAAAGATGTTTTCGACTTTAATATTATAAGGAATGTCAGTAGAAGGCAAGTGAAAGCTTTTTGATACCCTTAGAAGCCATATCCCCCAAAGATTTATCGATACCCTATTTATATGAAATATTCTATGCATCCTCTTGTCAAAAACCTAAAGAACGACTAGTTTTTATAATAACTTAATGCATTCTAAACCAAATAAACAGAACATCTATTCTCAAAGTGAAACCAAAAATATCTTCCAGAAGATTTTAAAGAATCGTGAAACAATTTTAACTTTTAGTTTCAGCAACTAGATGAATACAAGTGTGTATTGGCAAATACTGACTATCAGTGATTTTAGCTGAAAAAAATTAAAACACAATTGAAACACTGTGACGCTGATGTAAGTACTTTATCACATAGAAATAATGAAAAAATGTAATGTCATTAAAACAAGAATACATTATAAAACGAAAGCTGCAACTTATCTACAACTTCAAGGAATAAAAATCAGAAGTATTTCCAATAAAACGAAGGACTGTTTGAGTACAAGTTTTTCAACACTATGAAATTCCAAAAATCAATTATGATTAATGCTCAATTAGTTCAATAATATAGCCTTAAGGCTCTGAAAAAAAAAATTCTTCATAAAAGTTAACACATTGTCTTTACCCAAAAATGCAATAGACATATTTTTTATTTCATATGAGAGATGTCAAAAAATTCAGATTTTGCCAAATGTTAGGTACTCTTTTTTTCAAAATATCAAAAAAATTTAAAAATAGATGTTGTTACGTCCTATACTTATATTTGCGATTGGAGTCATCAACTTAGATATTTTATTTGTTATAGATACTGACCTCTTTCTCGGCTATTAAACTTTATTAGTTTTCTACTCCACTTCATCCAATTTCTAGGTGAGAAGTTAACAAAACTTGAACATAAGTACATATATCTGTGATGTAAAAAAATATTTTTTGGAAATATGAAATCATTGTTTAATGTTTGTGAATAACTCTAGTCTGTAACATCATTTGTATCCACAGACATAATAGCACTATAGAATCAAATCTACCATGATTCTGAAGCTTCCAGTGTATAAAACCTGTATTGAAAATTGTGCAAAATAAATTGATGGCTGTCATCGAACATTCAAAAACATATTTTCAATATTGACAAGTACTTGTTAAAAACTAGGGTTTAGAGCAATATTTTCAACAACAACTTCATTGGTGTTTATTTCTTTCAGGGCTATTTTAACAGTAAAACTTTCTTATATTTGAATTCCCCCAATAATAATGTTTTACTTAATATCTTCTTTATTAAAATTTGTATTTTCAATTATTCATTTCAATAGAAAATTTGAAAATGTAGAGGTTTTATTTAGATTATCAATAAGTACTATCGACAATTTTATTTTACATAACTTACAGGAACCAAGACTGATTTTAGGGTTGGTTTTGTTATGTTTACTTTACACCAAGAATATTTTTCCCAATGTATTTATGAACATTTTTACAAGGTACCATACACATATGATAAATATGAAATTCGACCAATGCATTTCGAGTAACAGAAAATATGAAAACTTTTATGAAGAATATTTTTCATGAAATCAATAATGGAAAAGTTGTACATATTACGCGAATTTTTTTGTGGGCACTGTTGCGATTGTTTGCGATTTTGTAAACGGTCCAGTGAAAATCTCACAACAAAGGGTTACCTGAATACGTTATGGATTTTTATCAAGTATCGGTCAATTCCATCAGGTGTACTTTCAATCCAATGCAAACACTACCTCCAAATACCAGAACTACACTCTTCATAGAGTGTGTATCACCAACAAACTTGTAATCATGGCTATATTCACCTCATAGTTCATCTCCCGATGACACCAACTCAGTTGGTGAAACACGCAGTTCCGGTGTGTGGGAACATTTTTATGTTGATTTCTTTGTAAGCTAGATTTCCACTTCTACGTTTCATAGATTTCACCCCAATAAGAAAAAAGTAATTTTTAAGATTTTCCACTTCAAGGACATAACATTGTAAAATAGTAATTCTTTTCTCCCGATACCAATTATGAATATCAGATTTTTGCTGCCCATACAAATTAAAGAAACGGTTTTGTTCAGTATGCTTGGTTTGTAGGAACTGATTTCTTTCAGAAATTGAAATCAAATTAGTAAATATCTATTACATTAACTTTGCGATGTTGCGTGACAAGTACAAGTACTGTAGAAGAAGATTAAAAGTCAATAAAAGCCAAAACATACGGCAGGAGAACATTTAGTACTGGCATACTAGGAAAGACCATTAATTCTAACTTGAATAACTTTGAAAAAAAAACAATGAATTTTATTCTTTCCACTTCTGTATGTAATGCAAGGAAATTATCGATTACAGGCAGTAAGGCAAATAATGATCAACATAGAATATTCAAGAGCATCCACAATTTTTGACTAGGAAAATTGCATGACTTTTAGGCTGTAGAGGGTTCAACAAAAATTCGTCTAATTTCCATATTATATTAATTATAATAAAAAAATAAAATTTACTTTCCATACTGAGAAGAGATCTTTTGTTTTTTTCTAAAAGCTTCAAAACATGAAAACATGAAATTACAACTTGGTCCATTAATAATCTTACTGGAGTAGGCAAGTTTACAATAGTTGCTAGTGACTGACACAGAGCAAGGTTACTTATTTATCATATGGACTCAAAATGTACACAATATCTGAGGGATGAGCCATCATCAAATTTCTATAATAGTAGACCTTAAAATAATTTTTTCCCATTATAGTAGAATTCATACCTACCTGACCATAAGTAAAAAGTATTATTAACCATCTGAGATCTGAAATATACAAATCTCTAACAACTTCAAAAGTTATGAATACTCACTGGTGATATGATATAGTGATGTAACAATGAAAAAAAAGAGGTCCTTTACTCAAAAATTTCCACGATTATCAATTGTATATTATTTGAAGTTTCAACTACTTGAACAAAAGCTGATTTTATAAAATGTATCTACATCCAAATATATTTCATTATTGATATAGGAATCATCAGCAAGTAATGTTGAAATGCAGAACTCCGGATGTTGCAACTTTAATGTCAATATTTTGTTCGCGGTTTTCATTAAACAAAAAAAGGAAAAAGAAAAATGCTGAAATATACATATCTTTATGTTGGATCAACACTTTGGAAAAACACAGGAAGTAATCAATTTTTAATTTGAGAAAAGCAGTCTTCAATTATTTGTGAGAGTTGAAATTACTAGTGTATGAATCTGATAAGCAAGAGGTTACAAATTTGGTGGTATTGGAAGCCATTCAGTGCTGACTTTTACCCTAATCTACTGTAGATGCGAATATTCGTCCAAATACTGACGACCAATCAATGCATAAGCATTGTCCTTTGGAAAAATTCATTCACAACATTTTTCAACACTGGATTAGAAGAAATAGCATTGAATGGTTTCCAACAGGTCACCAAGATTTGTTATGCATTTGCTTTCCTTTTATGTGGAAACCTTATCAAATCTACAGAACTTGACTATTGTCTCTTAAAGATTTTTCAGTGAGTACAGTCGAATTGCTTTGGAATGTGAAAGATAGTTCCGAACAAAATCTTTATTAATGTATGGTTACTAAAAGTAGCCAACTAAACGCAATTTTTTACAAGCATATTAGGCGGATTTTTTTGTTAAATATGTACTATGAAGACAATTTCAAGGGCTTTAAAACATCTTTGAACCTTTGTCTTGCTATGTGGTTGAAAATTGTGGTGTCACAAATAATGGTATTTCCTTGAATAAAAAATTAACAGGGCCCTGCATTTTCGGACTGTTCTCTAAAAACTAGATTTTGAGGCAGGGTGAAAAAATTCCATACCTACCCAGTATCAGATTTGGCAGCAATATTTTTACATTTTTGTAAAATAAATATTTTCTTACCAAACAAATACAACCAGCAAAATTTTGTTTCGTCAAGATTTTCAAAAGATAAATAACTATTCACATTTGATATGTCTATCAATTGAAGCAAATAGATGGATGGTTTGTTTATATTATCTGCCACTTTTGCAAGGACAATCAGTGTAAAATGGAGATGAGTAGTACTTGATTAAAATCTAAACTAGCGCAGATATTATTCAAAAATTGTGTCAAACCTATCACATGGTACATCTGAATTTGAAATTATATAAATACATAACACTATCAATTGATATGGTGAAAAAAAGTTAATATGGCATTGAAGTTGTGCATGGAGAGTTGCGTTTCAATTATCCACTAGTCTTAATTCAATGATATAACATTGAAAAACAATTTTTTGAAATAATTTTTTGTGGAAGACTTGATATTTCATATCAATATTTCTTACTTTTTTTTGGTATCTTTGGGTATCCATAATATGAAAAATAAAGCTAAATTAATAGAGAATCTGCTAGAGTATAAAGGGCAAACTGAAAAGTTCAAGAAAATTTTCTGCATAATATAAACCACTGAAGAATACTGGAGTTTTTTCCCAACACCAAATCGTTATTTTTAACACCTCGACACGTGTTTCGATCACCAAGTGATCATCTTCAAAGAGAAAGATTAAAAACTGAAAAAACTAAAAAAGTTGAGGTGTTGAAAATAACGATTTGGTGTTGGGAAAAAACTCCAGTAATATTCAAAATTCACTTGAAAACTTTCGCCTTGATTGTAAAAGGCTGCATTTCTTTTGACATATGTCAATTCTTTCCACATATATCAAAAGAAAAATAGCTTTATACAATTGCAATTGTAGTGTAATTCTTTTGTGGTATGTCAATTCTTTTGACTTTTGTAAAAAAATACAGATTTATACAACTGATGCGAAAGGTTTCAAGTGAATTCTGGATTTTGACGTATGCCAAAAAAAACACAGATTTTTATGATTCAGGCGAAGTTTTTGAGTGTATTTTGGATTTTAAAAATGAAATAAAATTGTTTTCCGAAACGTCGATCACTAATAAAACTAAGTATGGATATTAAATTTCCTTCAATTTGTAGGCCAAATTTATGAATATGCAGTAATATCGGAGTCAACTTTTCATTTTGCCCTTTATTACACTTCAGCAGATTCTTTATTGATTTAGCTTTGTTTATTTTTCCATGTTGAAAGGTTACATACCTAAAAAACAGTAAGAATTAGTAATAAACTACAAATGAAGAGTACAAATTAATTATCAGGATAATGAATGAATTAGAGCAGGACATTGAGGGACCCTTAACGTTCAATTTCTATTGTTTGGTTTTCATTATGGGTGTTGATAAATTGAGTATTACTAGAACTGGTATATTTATATTTCATTATATTAGAAGTTCCAAAAACTATATCTTTTCAGTCACAACAGTTGAAGGACCTCTTTTTTTCAACACAATGAAAAGGACAAAATATTCTTTGAAGTGATTTATAAAATTAGGTGCAACTGTAGTGTAACCTGTTACTGACATTTTCCTATAAACTTATCAATAATATTTACAGTATCAACAAATAAACTTCAACTGGCATCATGCTAAACTAAAAACATAAATCAACAAATTTGTTTTGAAAGTTTGAAAAACAAAAAAATGTTGAAATGGATGATAGATTCCAAAATCCCCTTTCTGGAGACTGAAGAGAAAAAACTCAACAAAATGAAGAGTACTGGCAAAGGTTAACAAAAATTATAAAACTTATGAATGAATCCAAAAAATCTGTACCTTCTAGCTTCTTTTCAACAACCTAAAGAGGTGGTCTGAGAATTCTTTGCAAGAATAAACATTTATGTCATTATTGTTTTCCATATCTGGACTTGGAGGTCTTTGAATAAGATTGTAGTCCACCGTTTCTGTGAGCTGCTCACATTTTCTTTTCTGCCTGTTATCAGTAGATGACCCACCAGTAGCCATAGTCTGTCGAGCTTTGTATATAGGTTCATATTCTATCAACTGGGCACGGAATCCTTCATTGGGGTCCACAGAAGCTCGCTTTTCTTTCACATAATGTAAAGCCTCGCTGAAATATTAAATATAAATAAATAATAATTGAAAACACTCAGTTTAACAATATAATTCACTCATTTTTTCAATTATACATACAATGAATCTAATTAATTCCAGATATAACCTGCACTTGCAAGTAGTCTTACAGTTTTTTCTGTAGTTTGAAAATTCTCATCGAAACAGGAAAGTTCCCCCAAAGAACAACACCGTAGCTGATGTGTGAGTGGAATAATGCAAAGTACGTCATTTTTACAATCTCACCGCTTGTGATGTTTTGCAGTTGACGAAAGATAAATATTGCACTAGATAGTTTATTTGCGAGAAGATCTGTATGTTGATGCTGCCAAATAGGGATAATTGTGCTAACTTTTAATACATCATGAATCCTACTATGTCATCAGCAATGTAGTTATAAAAATAAGAAAAATATGAGCAGTACTTTCAATTATACTATTTACATCTATTATCCAAATAATTAACCAAGTCAGAGGATGTGATTAGAATTACTCCAATTTAGGTTGGTAAAATTTTTATTTTCTAACTGTATGCTAGCGATAAAATAATTATTGAAAGTATTAGCTATATCAGAATTGAAATGAAAGGTAAAAGAACCTCTGGCGTAGTACCAAAACAAGTACTTTTCTCAATCACCAGAAATGCAATACTCTTCTCGACACACGTTTCTGATTACGCCAACATGGTTGGTGCATCGAAAAGAGTATTGCAGTTCTGGTGATTTGACAAAATGGATATATAAAATTATTACATTCAATCATGATGTTATCATGATTCTCGAAGAAAAACTACATTTTTGTTTATTTTTTTTTCCTATCTTCAGAAAGTACCCTTTTCGATAAATTGATTTTTTTCTAAAAAGATTATGTTTTAATACTGGCTTACCGAATATTATCTTTTGGATTTACTGATCATTACTTCAACTACATATGCTATGACAATTCTCGAAAAAAAAAACGTTGACAGTGATGTTCTGATGACTGTCTACTATGCTAATTTTTACTCTGCAATGAGGTTTTGGTATTATCATTTGGGGCTCCAGTCATGAGCTGAACAGAGTATTTATCTGCCAAAAAAAGGGTAATCAGAATACTTTTTGGTATGAAGGTCAAAGACTCATGTAGAGGAATATTTAAAATGAACAAATCATTAACAGTACCAGCGATATACATTTTTGATTCAATAAAATTTCTTAGTAAATCAACCAAGCTACTTTGAAAAGCATCATAAAACACATGAATATGGAACAAGATTTAGGAATGAGTTTTTATATCCGATACATAAAAAATCTCTATATGAAATAAGTACTGTCTACAGTGCGATTAAATTTTTTAATTCTCTCCCACAGGATATAAGAGACATTGGGATGGCCAGCAGTTTTCTGAAGTCTGTGAAAAAATTTTTATGCAATATAGAGCCTTATACCATAGATGAATATTTTAACACTTTATTTTAAATTTTATTTCATCAACTCTATATTTATATGTGTATGTGACATGTTTTATTCAAATTTTATATCTTATTACTCTTTTGTAATTTTGTTCACTGACATTTCTCGGACAAAGTATTTCTTTTAACTTTTATACAAGATTTACATGTACTGTGTAGAAATAAATGAATATCTATCTATCTATCTATCTATCTACGAAGCGGTCTTTTACATTTGAGTAAAACAATCAGCCAAAAATTATTGAAAATCTCCTTCGATATAGATAAATGTAACAATGAATATTTAACTACTTATGACTGTCTTTTCATATAGTAACAATGTTTTCTTCGGGTTTATGTTATATGTCACGTATTTCATGGTCTTCTTGAATTTTTTTTTAATACACGAGCGAAAACTCATACTTCGAAAGAATTGTCTGGTGTGAAACTAGCAGCTATTTTACAGCATTTTTTTGAAAGTGGTGAAAGGAATAATTTCAAATTCGATACATACATGATCTCAATTGAAATCATAAAAACAGATAATGATTTTTCATTGGGAAAGATTAACTTTATTAGTGATAGGCAACTTTTTTTCTGTTTTATTACGTTTTTGTTATTTGGAAACTGGGTGATACCGATTCTACAATAAGGAATATTTACTTTTTATGTTTGATAGATGAATATTTTCGTTTTCCGTTACAGATTCAAAAAACTGGTTGAGTCAATTTTGTCACGTTCAGGAAAGTTTTGTTTCATATTAATACTTGGTATTTTCAGGCATATTTATACCCAAGTTTGTTAAGAATTCATTAAATATATTTGTTTTATCTTTATTATTTGTTAATATTTCACCGACTTCACTGGCTATTGGAGTGTTGTCTATGTGATTTTTTATTCCGCACTGTTATATCATTGATAATCGTCCAAATTTTTTTATATTCGTTTCCTGCTTCTGCTATTTTATTTTGATGAAATTCATCTTTTGTTGTTTTTTTCAAGGTATTAAGTTTATTTCCGTATTCTTTTTCAGTTTCATTTGAGAAATGTTTTTTTTCAGGCGATCTTTGTGTTCGATACATGTAATAAGACCAACAGAGATCCATGGTTTAATTTTTTTGTAGTATTTATTTCTGAAAGAAGTTTGCATTTTAGTTGACTCGATAATGTATTCCATTTATCAATGAAGATTTGTTATGATAATTGTGACTCGTTTAATTGAAGGACGTTTTCCAATTTTCCTCCCTCTGAAATATTTTTGAATTTCTCATAGTTTATGTAACTTGTTTTGTTTGTGCTTTTCTCTTGGGTGATTTCATATCTAGGTAGGTAAAAGTATATATAAGGTGTATAATGGTCTGTCATGTCGCTTAGAAATATGACAGGCTCAAATTCAATTTCATTTTTAAGTTGTATTTTGGCGAAAATATGGTCGATCGTAAATGTTGTGCCTTTTGTAACTCTCGTTGGTTTGTTTATGTAGGATATGTAACCATTTGAGTTCATAATATTTAAATAATTGTTGGTATCATTTGATCCTTATTTTAAAATAGCTATATTTATATACCCTACATATACTTCAAGGTTTTGTTCATGTAAACTATTTAAGTATGCGTCTAGATCTTCCATATAACTTTTGAGGTCTGTTGCTGTGGGTCTATAATATGCCGTCAGACCTAAATTTTTTTCTGATAGTGTCCTATACAGCAAGTTGACCTAAAAAATTTACCCTCATTTATATGAATGGTTTTTACTTCTGCTGATAGTCTGATTTTAGTATACATTATTACACTATCACATTTATTTATAAGCGATTCGTTGTAGTGAATAATATAGTTTGGGATAGGAAAGTCATCGATGTTTTCAATATTTACAAGTTCGTGAAGTTAATGAAATGAAGGATGAAGGATTTCTTCTTTTTTCTCTGTCTTCTTCTTTTTTTCTGCGAGGTTACAAAGTCGTTCATTATAAATTTTTAGCATATAATTTCTTTTAAGAGATATTCATTTATATTCATTCATTAGTAAGTGATGCGCTACCTGTAATATAATCATTGAACTTCTTCTAGTTGTGAGAATTTTGAAAAGTCATCTTTATTTTTAATGATATGCACTTTATTGTTTAAAATTATATAGATTTTACCGTTGTGGATCCATACATTTTTGAGTCCGAATTTTTCAATTGCTGTATTCAATTGTTTCACCCTTGACCCAGTTAAATCCTCCCTTATGATTATCCTTGTTCCTTTGAGAAACATTTTCTATCCATAAACCGCTTCTTTAATCTCTAAGTCGTAGAGTTTCAGAAAGATTCCTCTTGTTTTGCTTTCTTCTTTCTTGCCAATCCTGTAGCATATAGAGATGTCCTTATTCAATAGATTTAGTAACATTATTTTTTCAATTCATGTGTTTTCATTTGGTTCTTCTTCGAAGCTGAATATTGTTAGGATACACTCTCTAACTTGGTCCATCTGATCAAGTCTATATTCCATTTTATTTTTCTTCTTTAGCCACTTTCATTTCCTTTTCCAGGAGTTTAATTTCATTTTCAAACTTTTCATTCAGTTCGCAGTGATTTTGGTTAGGCGCTGCCACTGTGGATTCGACCTTCAGTAGTTTCTCATTTATGGTTTTTGTTATAGCCTCAGTGACTTTGTTTACTATTCGAGAGATAAGAATATCACTTTTTATGTACTTGGTCACCACTTGATTCACAGCTGATTGATTCTCTTTCTTCACGGATTTCCCTTGTTAGAAGCATATTCCTGTTTCTAGTTTCACCAATTTTAAAAGCAGAATAACACATTGTTACTAATTTTCACTTTTAAAAATTTTTATTTGCCGTAATAAATCCTTCATTCACATATATTCGGGAGCTTCAATTTACTCTACTCACTAGCCATGAACACGTTTAATTTTTTTGTAGTATTTATTTCTGAAAGAAGTTTNTGCCATGATCTACAACTATCATATTTTTTGAATCAGACATAATGATTTGAAATAATATTATTTTTGTTATATGAGAGTTTAATTAGGTTTTTTATGTATTTCTGTTCTACATTGAAAATTTCGAAAAGTAGACTATTTCAGTTGCATGTTACGTACCTTCATTTACTTGCTACTTCCCCTTTTTTTTCATGAAAATTGTTCAATTTCTTCAAAATTGTATTTTTTCCAGCAAACGTTATAATTGTTTATAAAACGTGAAACTGGAACCGTTGGCGTAGAATAAATCCAAAACAAGCACTTTTCCCAGGCACCAAAACTACAATACTCTACTTGACACACATTTCATCAACCAAGTTGGCGTCTTCGGGAGACAAAGTAAACTGATTGTTTATGAAACTGAAGGATTATTAGGGTTCACAGTTGAGACGATTCAGGATATGGCTGCTTATTGAAAAAGGAGTCACCCAAATCGTTCTGAGTCTTGATTGTGGAATTACTATTTACTAATTGAATACCTGTCTTCAAACAGGTTTGCTATGATTTTTTTCGCAGGACGTGTTCATTGGTTCAGTTAATGGTGTGACAAAATTAAACAAGAAATGAATGTATTGTCTGATTTATATGGTTATGTAAATGAATGCAATGTCTAATTTATATGATTATGAAAACGTTAAAGAATGACACCTCCTTTTTTGTCCTTTAGAATGTGCCTTCCACGATTATATCAATGTTTGTAGTGTGTGTAGTGTTTTAAGTAAAAGAACGCAGAATTAATAAGAAAGTACCATTTAGAGTTAATGAATATGAAAGCCTAAAAATGGTGACGATCCTTATGCCTTGTAGGGTCAAGCTAAGAGAAATTTTTTAAATTTGGAAGCATATTTTTGATAACTCAACTATGACTTTTGTAATATTACGAACAAATAATAACACTCTAGTAAAATAACTATATTACTTAAAAAAAAGATTCTTTCAGTGAAATAGAAGTAATTATTCAATGAGGACATTCAAAATAAGCAAGGTCTGTACCATAGGATCCTGAAATGAAGGTATAATTTTACATGTTTCATCACCAAAGGTGAGTATTTGAAGAATTCAATTTCCCAATTTTGAGTGGCCATTGATCAATGGACAAAAATACAAAAGTTTACTGGATGATTCTATAAAAACTAGCACGAGCCAATAACGAACAGTTACCAAAAACTTCAATTTTAATCCAACTCACCCACAAGTCAATCCATACTTCTCCATGATATATGCCAATACCAAAGTCGCACTCCTAGAATTCCCAGCATTACCATGAACAAGCACTTTACAATTGTTAGATAGAGCTTCGTCAATAAATTGTCGTACTTTGGGAAAGAATCTAATGATATTTTCAGTAACATTATCTGCAATGTCAAGTGTTAAATAGGCAAAAGCAGGATCAGCTACCTGCGGCTTTATAAAATGCGCTTCAAATTGCTGTCGGACGCAGACAACATAATTGATACCATTTTCTAGTAGGCAGTTTCTGTAAGCTGATGTGAATGGACCAAGATATACTCCAGGTATGATTTCTTGCATTGTTCCATGGAAATAAATGTGGTGGGATTTATGGGATGGGTATGGAGATCTTGAATTAAAGGATGGGTTTGTATCGCTCCCTACATTTTTCTGAAACAAAATATTAGGTAGCTAAAAACGTTTGTTAATATGGGGTGGAGTTTGGTAATATAATTGTTGGAAACCTCACCTCGCCTTGTAAGAAGTTACCAGGAGTAATATCAATCATTTTATTGCAACTAATGAAACACTAGAACATTTACCAATAATGATTACTCCAGCAACTTATTGTTCTGGAAACCAATATTCGTTCTTATCGAAAAACCCATTACGAGCATCCCATCACCCACTCCACTACTCACTTCACAAGTTCGTGAAGTTAATGAAATGAAGGATGAAGGATTTCTTCTTTTTTCTCTGTCTTCTTCTTTTTTTCTGCGAGGTTACAAAGTCGTTCATTACCAATTATTCGTTCTAAACATATAGTTCATTCTTCATTGTTAATATTCCAAGTTTTTCTATTCAATTATTGTAACAGTGTTTGAAGAAATTAAATAATTTTTTCAAAAGTGAATTGTGAATAACAAGATATAACAAATTGGCGCAGTCCTGAACATTGCTAGAACAAGAAAATTCTAACAAGTAGTGGTGGAATCCAGTCCTTCAAGGGAAAAAAAACAAGTCCTCAGAGGGAACGCAGAAGCAAGAGAACCCGAGGTGTCATCGTTTGAAAAAACCACGGAAGGAACACCTAGCGAAGCCCCTGGTGAAAACTTCAAGGAAAGACGACTCACCAATGAAACAAATACACGACAGAAAAACAACAACTAACCCAGCTAAATGCCATGCAGAAAGTCGAATTTGCATGGCATTTAGCCGAATTTGGTCGGATCGACCAAATGAAATTAATTTATACTTTTCATAGTGGGAAAACATATAGTTCATTCTTCATTGTTAATATTCCAAGTTTTTCTATTCAATTATTGTAACAGTGTTTGAAGAAATTAAATAATTTTTTCAAAAGTGAATTGTGAATAACAAGATATAACAAATTGGCGCAGTCCTGAACATTGCTAGAACAAGAAAATTCTAACAAGTAGTGATGGAATCCAGTCCTTCAAGGGAAAAAAAACAAGTCCTCAGAGGGAACGCAGAAGCAAGAGAACCCGAGGTGTCATCGTTTGAAAAAAACCACGGAAGGAACACCTAGCGAAGCCCCTGGTGAAAACTTCAAGGAAAGACGACTCACCAATGAAACAAATACACGACGGAAAAACAACAACTAACCCAGCTAAATGCCATGCAGAAAGTCGAATTTGCATGGCATTTAGCCGAATTTGGTCGGATCGACCAAATGAAATTAATTTATACTTTTCATAGTGGGAAATAACTTGCGACGAATCTTCCAAATCGAAGACATTGCACCAGGTGTCTGATGGTTTTATTTCAACTTTCTGCGGGGCATTAGCTGGGTTAGTTGTTGTTTTCCGGCAGGTATCTGCCACACGTACCTACCTATAAAGTCGTAGGTCTGCATAAGAGGTAAGGTGTTGTCACCTGAACTTGGAGCATGTCATATGCACCTCTCCGGAATATTGATCATTATTCCGACTCCCACCCCGGAGTATGTGTTTGTGGAGTTGTTTCCTGGCTTTGTCTGCAGATGGCACAGTGGACATCCCACTGAATCAACTGCGGAAAGAGTTAATGACTAGCTGGAAATATATTTGTTTGGTAATGATACTCAGACGATTCACTCGTTTTGAAGAGACCACGTCCGGTGCTAATGATGGGGCAAGTGTATCATATGTATAGTTATTGGTAACATTGTGTAGAGTAGTAGTTGGCAACACTGACCCGGATGAAGTCGCGCCCCGCGCCAGTGATAGATAATAGGACATGACACATTTTTGTAATGACCATTTGTCAATAAAAGCATATTAACACAATTATCATTGGCTATAAATGTAACATGGTGTCAGGTAAATTGGATTGAACCCGAACCCTGGAGTGTGCAATTGAATATCAGAGAATCATGGAATCATTATTCAAATCACCTGAGCCCTTGTGTATTCAAAGTGACCTAACTGTTAATTACGTCAAAAAAAGAAGAAAGAGAAGGAATTTTGAAGACTATAGTCCTGGAAATAAAAGACAATGGAAAACATCGACAGGAGCATCACCCAAGAACAGATCCAAGAACAAGAGGATAATAACAAAAATAATTCAAACGAATAGGGTCTACTTCCGTCTATCAGGACGAAAGCCAAACTTGGAAAAAATGGCAAAACCAGACACAGTCGAACATAAAAAAGTATTATTGATCAGGCAATGAAACAAGGGAGGCCGGTAATGGTTATACCAGTATATCAGACATAACATCGGAAACAAGTAGATGCCACTACACTTCGTGAAACTGACGATCAATGGAAAATGGTGTAAATGTCTCGTGAATACCGGAGCCGCTGTGTTGTTGAGCATATGATAAAGAAAAGACAAGCGAATCACTATCAACTGACAAGTGTGACAGGTCATTATCTTTGAACTTGGGGTTCTACAAAATTATCGATAAGCACCATGGACATAAATTGGAGCAAACACTGACTGGATAGCTATATGATTTTAGGAAGATATTTTCTAGGGGGGATCTAGGCACGTATCAATTACGGGATACACATGGTGTTCAGACCCATCTGGTACGGATCTGTTCAGCGTGGGATGTAGAAACCCTTGCGAAACAGGAACACAGTTTCATTACACGAACATATGGTCCTTCGAGCTGGAATATTAAACAAAAACTTAACCAAAAATTGAAAATTACAAGTGAATCAAGTAACAAATACATTTGTGCAGTATATAATCGACCAAACAAGTTTTGAAGCGGAAGCAACAAGACAGTCGAGAACCGCAACTGGACTTTCACATCGTAGAACCAGCCAGTGAGTTTGTTCCTTTTTCTGTCTTTTATTTATTATACCATTCAATACGGAACAAGTGAAGATTTGAATATTAGTGAATTTCAATTTACATTATACGTTGAAAAATAACGTTCGCATACGTTAATATTTCGAGAATTATTATACGATTTAGGGCAGTGGTCGCCTAACTCTTCAATGTGTTGAGCTACTTTGTTAATTTTGGAATAAACACCGAGCTACCCACACGGAAGCCACGTATCGCAACGTAAATTAAATAATCCACAGTTAATTTATCATTATATGTATTTATTTCACTATTTAACTGGTAATACATAATACATAGGTACTAATAATAAACTAATAACAAAATAACTAATATTACTAGTACGTACTTGTTCATAGCTACATTCCTACCTATCAAACGAAGGTGTTTGAAAAATAAACACAAACTTTTATCCAGCCACAACGGCATGTCACGTATGATTTAAAAATAGTTAATAATAACAACAAAAAAGTAACGCACTATCATGAACATAAACATTGAAAAATAAAAAAGCACGTTCAATGAGAAGGCTGACACTCAGACTCATCGATAATTTTTTTAATGTTTGCAGTATAA